ATTCATACTTGTGGCTCTCATATGCATATGGCTCATAAAAAGACTTTAGTTTTTGTCAGAATATCTTATATAGAAATGGAAGCACAGAAAAAAATATGGCCTAGATTCTGAATTTGCTATGTTTCCAGTGCAACCAAGGGCAAACAATGGCTTTTAAACAGTCCCTGAGTATCTGCAGGGGAATCGCTGGCTTCTCTCCAGAGATCTCAGGAGATTTCATTAGGTGACTTGGAGATCCAGATGCTGAGGAGGAGAATGCCCAGAGCCAGCTGGTAATCTCTAGCATCCTACATGAAGGTGCATTGTTTCAGGGCTGAATGCCTCTGTCTGCTCAGGGTTTGATTCCAGCAGTGCACTATTGCAGGCAAGAGGCAGTTAGAAAGGAGTGACCTTTTTGTAGGTGGTCAGGTTGGATAAGGATCCCCCTGAGAACTCAGCCATCAGGATGGCCTCAGGCTGGAGTGACTCAAACACAGCTCTCCTGCACTTGCTGGGCCACAATACAGAAATGCAGGGAGGAATCCCTGTGGAGAGCAGGAAGAGGAAAGAGAAATAAGCACATAAAAGTCTGTATTGTATGGAGCCTTCTGTGAAAACTGCTGCTACCAGTTATCTAGCAAAATGGAATTGGTTACTGGGCCTATGTCACAACAAAATCATCCGAATTAACAGCAAAAAAGGACTGTAAGCAAGAATCTATTGCAAATATGGGGGATGATTGGCTGATAGCTTAAAATAAACAAAAACCCTATAACTAAGAAGAATTATACAAAACCAGCTTTTTGATCAGCTTTTTCAGAGAACTGCAGTCTCCCAGGAGCTGAATTGCCTACCCAGCATTTATTGCTGTCTGTCTCTTTTCACATTCACCCACAATGGCTCTCTGCTATTATTTAAAAAGACATTTCAATCCTGTGGTTAAAGGCGTGGAATCAAAATACCCTTGGTCAAGTCCAATCTGTCCTAGCAGTCCTTGATTGGTTTGGAGAATGCACTGTATCTGCAGCATTTGCCTCTACAGCACTGTGTCTGCCTCTGCATCTCCCCTCCTGCAGCACCCTTGGGAGCAGGCATTGCAAGACATCTGTCAGGCTACAATGTCCAATCACACACCCCACCAGCACCAGTGGGATCTTGCTCAGCATCTGCAATTATACTGGTCATAATTTGGCTCCCTACCATTTGTAGTCATGCAATTATGAATATCTACTCAGCGGGCTCCTGGGAAGATCTTCATCTTCTGTATCTTTAGACTATTATGCATGCCCATGAGATGACATAAATAATTGTATAAAGGGAGAGAGAACAGTCTGAACATGTGAGAATAGAATTGCTCTTTAAGGTCATTTTAGTTTATCTTTTACAATTTTGTTCCTCCCAAACATTTTTCTATGGCAGTATAATAGCAAAATAACCCTTCAAATCAGGATTCACCTAAATGAGTTCCTAGGATAGCAGGATGTTTTTTGGAAGGCTGTGCTAAGCTGCAAACATGCAGAAGAGGGAATTATTAAATCTTTGCAGAGGTTGGTATCAGTAAATTCAGTGATAACTAAGAGTGAGATCACTGCTCATTTAAGAAGCTTCTAACTACAAGACTGTTGCCCAACAAAAGGAAACAGAGAAAAAAAGAAGGCTGAAAGCTGCCAAAAATAGTATCTCTTAAGGGGTGAATTATTGTAGCAACCTTGTACTTCCTCTGGAAAGGGTCATGAATGCAATGAGTTTGTTAATATCATGCTCTGTCTCTGGAGGTGCTTGAGACCAGGATGGATGCAGCCCTGGGCAGCGTGGTCTAGTACCAGTCTGGGAGGTTGGTGGCCCTGCCACAGGCAGAGGTTTGGAACTTGATGATCCTTGGGGCCCCTTCCTGCCCAAGCCATTCTATGATTCTATGATTCTATGATTCTATGATTCTATGATTCTATGATTCTATGATTCTATGATCTCAGTCATAATCAGCTCAAAACTTCTGAATCACTAAACCAGCACTCACATGGCTTGCCTAAAAGCCCTGCTGGCAAGTTGTCCACTAGCGATCTGTGTAACACACCATTTCCCATGTACAAGCCATCATAACAATGACAAATGCAGCTGCTGCATGGAAACAGACACACTCTTTGGTCTCTGCCTGATACTTCTGGAGAAGCTTCCTGAAAGGCATCTGGCATTAATCTGGTGCCATATGTTAAACAGGGCCTAGCTACAGAAAGAAGAATAAGCACAGCTAATATCAAATTGAGAAAACAAGCAAAATGCATTAAAAAGCAATATGCTTTTCTCCTATATGCTTTTCTCCAGGCAGCCAGAGCCATGCTGGACTTCAGTCTACAAATCTGGGCTCTGTAATGTGGCATCCCCAAAATGCTGGAGGCTCTGACGATAATCCTAGCTAGGTACAGCAGTACTGGAGGTACTGGACAAAGCTCTGAAGCAAAATTTCATTCCATGTCTAGAGAAAGAGACACTTAGACTGAAGCACAGCCATACTGATCCTTTTGCTGGCTCTTCCCACCTTATTCCAATTTGTTCAGAGCACAGCAGTTGTCTGACAGGGAACAGAAACTGCAAGAACCAGTGATTAACAGATGATGGTGCAGATTATATATGAAGTCAACTATGTCGGTGAAGGAAGTGAGCATTTGATTTATAAAAAGAAAATCTAAAAGTATTACATTAATTCCCCCAAGGAGACAGATCTCTGCTCAGTTGAGCTTTCCAGACCTCCCTTTAAAGCAGCAGATACTGGCTGCTGACCAACATATCAGCCTAACAGCCACATCTCTGGTCCTGAGATCCAAAAGGAGTTCAGCACAGAATAGCAGAAATGCAGAGAAGATCCATCATAATGGTTAATTGTTCCTCTGAGTCATCCACAAAGCAATACTTTAAAACAACACAAAAGCCTTTCTTATAATTAAGAAAATGTGGCAAGCCTTGTTTCCCCAATGGCACACATGTTGACAACCAGAAAATGCTGACTTTACAAAATGTTTTGTTCTGATGTACACAGAAACTAACTCTCTACTTGGAAATTAGCTCGGCGTATTTAGCATTTAAATTTCTACCTTTTATATCTTTTAAAATACACTTTTTAGGTGCAGCAAGATGTGTTATTATGTTAGGTGCTTGTAAATATTCTGCTTGTAAATGATTATACATCTCTTATCTTTACATGCTTTAAAATTTTCCAGTGTTTTTTAGGTTTTTGTGAGCTGTTGTCTGATCATGGATTTAGGAAAATTACTAACAATTTCAGCAGCTTTTCTGCAAGTGAAATCACTCACTAACATTGCATATAATACCTAATTTCTGTCAAGACAGATACTCCATTAGTGTAATTTGGAATTGCTCCCTTTAAATTAATTGAGCCATGTTGATATATAGGAGACAAACATGAAGATGAAGATATAATTTATGTCAGCCTCTGTGAATTAGTTCTCTAGTCACTGTGGGGCTTCCATCTGAAATACCTGCAATTTAACAATGCATTGTTTGCTATATATTTGCTCCTCAAGTTTACATCAGAACTACTCTGTATTTCCTAGTGAACGGTTACAGGCATACAAAAAAAAAAAACAAAATAAGAAAGAAAAACAAACTCACTTATGCTTTATTCAATAGATTGATAGCAATACAAATGCAGTTCTAGTGTTTTGTGTGTTTTCACACAGAAAATCACATCTACAGTTTCTGGATATGAAGCTCCTGTTTATTTAAAGTCAGATCTCTGGTTTTCTCCATACAGCTGTAACTTTTCACTCAAAAAAGCTTTAAACTCCATATGGATGTGAATTTTTTTCCTGGACAAAGCAAACGCTGATTTAACCCAGCATCCACTGCCACTCTTCTGGATCCAGTTGCTCCTATCCCCTCCATTATGCTAACAAAATAAGACTGGGAATCTTATCCTAGAAGCTAGTCCATTAAAAATAATTTTTAAAAAAGGTCTTCCATCTGGTTCATGCATAGCTGCAGGCAAGGAAGGAATGCTTAAGTTGGCATTACTCCTAGAAGGATGACTGCCATACTATTCTCCCACCACTGTTTCTGAAGAAAATTTAAATGCTGCTTGAGTATTTCAGTTCTATGAATGACTGACTTTTTCTTGCCCCAGCCACTCTTTCTATGAAAACAGAGTTTTACTTTTGGAATCCAATGGTAGCTAAAATCTCTAGACTAACAGTTACGCTAACATCACAGATTTCGAGTAGGAAATTTCCATTTAATCGAAGGACATTCTTTTGAAGAAAACACATGCTGTAATAACAATGCTTTTTAAAAAGGAGCAGCAAAAGAAAAAGAGAGAACTCAAAATAATTTCTTTAAAGTTTAGGGCATTTTTCTTGTTGTTTTCTGAAAATATCAAGAATATTGGAAAAAAACCTGACTAGCTCTAGATCTGAGAAGACTAAGGAATGCAATGTGTGACTGCACATATAATGGATTTTCTTTTATTTTCTTTTATTTTCTGAGGGGGAAATTAGCTGACTTTGCAAGTAAGATAAAATCTACTTGCTGATATGATTTGGCTGTATATTCAGTTCAAGAGATGCACCTTCTGCACGTCTTACAGTGACATGAATGCAGCACTGCCAAGAAGGTTGACTGCTACCACAGTGAGTACTGCAAAAAACTAAAAGTTGCACAAAGCATCCACAATGCACTAAGAGTAGAAGAGATGTGTGGTTCATCATGGAGGTCACACAGAATCTAATGCAACAGACAGGAATTGCAGAAGGGACAAATGTGATTCAAACCTGTCCTGATGAGGACAAGATACCTGTTTCTCTCCCATGCTTTTTTTTTATTTTTATAGACTCTATTCCATTTTTGCAAATTTGAAATCTTTTTATGAAAGCACCAAATAAGAGTTCATGTTTCTGACACAATTCTTACATATATTATCTGATAGGAAAATATTGTAATTGGAACAGCACACAGCTGAAAATGAACTTGAAACATCAGGTAAGTTTTTAAAGCTGTTCTATTGTATTTTATTTCTCTCAGACCTGAGAAATCTGTAGAAGAGGCTGAATATCCTTAAGACACACTGCACTGGACTGACTCTGGAAGGTACTTTTGCAAGTTTTATGCAAACATACAAAGCAGATGATACACACTGTGGCTAAAAATATAATTCTAGTTATTTCTCATAATGAATGCAAAACAAAATCATTAACTGTATTACTAAAATATACACACAACATGATAGCAAGGTATGACAGCTACAAATGTTCACAGTGCCAAACAAGGTTCCCCAAACACATCATGAGTTACTATCAATGACCCAAGCTACACAAAAAGTAGCAATGAAAGACATAATATTCATACCTTTCAAATGAGGTATATTTAAATCTACTGCAAGAATGGATAAAATAGTCTGTTCTTTCTGACAGTGTGTGTGTAAGTAGCTCTGGAATCTTTCACTTGAGTGTAATGTTGATATCCTGCTTTTTTTCTGCTTTCTTACATCTGTCTTGGTATTGCAGCTTCATAGAGGATAATTAAATGGCACCTCCTCTTTCAAGACCACTTATTTTGAATACTGTCAACAGTTCCGCAAAACTAAGTTAAAGCACCAACCAACAACCTTTCCACCTGCAGCACCAGCAGTACTGTCAGAACACAGAATACATAATGAAAGGTAATGAAAGCCACTGATGGTTCTATGGTGATGCCACAATTTGTCCCCAGCTAATCTGGTTTTAATGAGGATATTACAGCTACTATCAAGGACGATACTTTTTTTTTTCCTTTTAGAGGCTGCAAGGCTTGGAACCACACACTTCTTAATTCAATAGCCTTGATATTAATCCAGGATTATTCAACTGCATGAGAATTGTTAGAAGAATGGAAACAACATCCCGCACTCTGTCTTTTTATGGTAACTTTCCTTATAGTATCAGCTTGCAGTGAAACCTGAATATCCTAATGGGATTAAACATAAAAGAAAGTCGGGCAAAAAGTCTCTGGATTAGAATTTTAACTGAAGCCTTCTGTGAGAAAGACCACACCACTGTTAGTGACCTTTCTCTCCCGATGTGTGATCCCAGTTGTGCCTAGTCAAGTGTCCAATGGAGACTCCATCAGTTCACGCTGTATTTATCCTTTTGCTCTTAAAACAGGTGTCTTGTTACTAAGAGAACAAGCACTCATGCCATTGATCAGGCTGTATTAACCCCCCCTTAACCCCCCTTGTAAGAGCCCATGATGTTCACTGGTATGAAATGCAGAGTGTAATTATGCTATTTAAGAAGAGAGCTTTCTACTGATAAAAACCATCAATCTAAGTAAAAGGCAGGAAACCGATGTAGGAAATAGGGAAAAGGACAATGAGTAGGCTTTTGAGTGTTTCAGAATGTCATGTCTATCACCAGCTCCAGCCTTTGTTTTTGAAATGTTCTCTCTGATAAGTTTGCCTTTAACATATCTAAAAAAATGTTAATTTAGAATCTCATACTGTATCTTCAGAGCTTTCATTAGATACCGCAAGAATGCTTTTCATCTCATTTTTACTCTAAACTCCTTGAGTCCTCCCTAGCTCTGAACAATTATGTTTAATTAGAGAGCAGTTATTCATAGATGAGCAGTAAACTAACCTCAATCAAAAGTAACTTCTAAAACGTTTCATTTTTATCATTCTAGATCTCTTTACCTTGACAGTGCTTCAAAGATTCATATTTAGTCTCATAAATGCTATCATAAAACCTTAACAACAGTGTAAATTCTAGTGTGGGAGGATGTGCAAGATGTTGAATTCCTTTTTCTACATCTAGATATGCCATTCTAAATTGGGTGACAAGAGGGGCTTTCCTCACATGATCTAAGACGGTGTTTTTCTACTAGTGCTCAGCTTACTGATACTCTCCTGGAAGCTAGCCAGCGTTATATCCATCTACAAAAGGCATGAGAGAAGACTCAGGAAACTACAGATCTGTTAGCCTGACCTTACTCCCTGGAAAAATTATGGACAAAATTATCCTCGGTGCTGTTGAAAGGCATTTGAAGAACAAAGCTTTTATCAAGTGATATCAAAATGGGTTCACAAAGAGAAAGTCCTGACTAAATAATTTGATCTCCTCTGCCGATAAGGTCACTCAGTGCATGAAGGGAAGGAAAGGCAGTGGATATAATTGTCCTGGATTCTAGTAAGGTCTTTGATACTGCCCCTCACAGCACCCTTCTGGACAGATTGTCCAACTGTGACATGAACAGCTACATGCCACTTGATGAATTGACTTAACAGCAGACCTCACAGAGATGTAGTGAATGGAGTTACATCTGATTGGTGGCCTGTCACTACCGACTCAATTCTAGGGCCGGTTGTGTTCAACATTTTTATCGGTGACCTGGATGCAGGAGTAGAATGCATCCTCAGTGTGTTCACTGATGATGGCAAACTGCGAGGTGTTGCTGGCTCTCTCGAGAGACAGAAGCCTTTCAGAGGGTCTTTGATACAGTGAAGCATTGAGCAATCATCAATGGCATGAAATTCAATAAGGTTAGATGCTGAGTTCTGCTTCGTAATTCACACTCAAGATATCTCATTAATTGCTGTACATGTGAACAGAAATCATAAGCATTACATGCTTTAATTATTGCTTGTTTTACTGTAATAACTACTAGATCTAGTACTGAGCCAGTACGAAGAACAAAAAGATGTTCCTTGACCTTTTAAGTTTGTAAGTTAATTTTGAGAGAAGAGTCAACAAATGGGTAGTGTGGTACTAGACTCATCACAATCAGGTAGGCAGATCAGCAGTCAGTAGGCTATGACTGCTACATATATTTTATCTGACAGTTCTGATTGACAGATTGAGATAATTATTGTCCATCAACATTTATAACATCATTGGTTCTTGTTGTAAATTCCACTGCTTGCTTCTTCACAATTAAAAAAAAAAAAAAAAACTTCTTAATCTGATTCATCACTTAAAATTATGTTGGGATAAATGGGATCTAAGCAGAAATTGTCTCTTCCTTTGTGCAGTTTTGTGTTTTTGCATGTTTGTTTTCCATTGTGTCTGTTAGGCTTTTAGAGTAAACACTTTTAAATCATAAATTTTCTAGCATAATTTGTCCTGAACAGTGTTAAATGTGCCAACGTCATAGACATCTTTGGTGGTAAAAGAATTTCCACAGCTCTAGTGTCACAGATAGACAGGTACAGAAAGTCCAGTCTGCCCCATCACATAGTACCGAGATGATTCTCCTGCAAGCTCTCCAATGGGTAAGCTTTGGCTGACCGAAGAAAGGATTAATTAACCTTAAATTAAATAGAGTTCTCAAATGCATGCTGACTGTAACAGGTACTTACTTTTTATACTGAAAAACTTGTGTAAATGTTGTATTTCATACAATTATAGCAATTAGAGCCCAGATTCTAATCTCACCAAATCTGACACTATATAGAGAAACCAGAAAAATCCACTATTACTTTGTGTAATCAAAGAAAAGAAAAACAATACCTGCACAAAACCACATATCATATAGTCATCAAACAAAGGCAGACTAGGGCGGTCCTCTCGATAAATTTTGATTTTATAGCTGCTCACAATCTGAGGACTGGGATGCGAATCATCTGTTACAAGAACAACAATTTTGTTCAATCCAAGGCCAAGTGGGTAGTTAGCAATGCTGAAAGAGGGGAAAAAAGAAAGAAAGTGGAATTAACACTGAAGAAACAAAGATTTTTACTGCATTGCCTATGGCAGGTAAACTTGCTCCTTGAGACTTCTATTTCTAGAAGTTTTTTACTCCATACATTTGTTTTTACATAAAAACAGCACACACTGTTTTCCAAAGAGTTTAAAATTCCTTCAAGAAGACAAAATAATGAAAGTGAAACTTTGCAAGAACAACTTCAGTGGCAATGATAATTCTGATGGGAAATCTGTGAATGGAGGCACTAGGTACAATAATTCCTGGCGGGTCCAAGGCCAGAGTGAAGTCTGAAGGGAGACAAACCAGATGAAAAGTGTCACCTAGGTGTGGAAATTGTTACTCATCAAACATGATGGAATCCCAGACTCAGTCTGACACAAGAACAAAGCTCAACTGTGCTCTTCTTCTGATTGCAGTAAAATGAGAATGCTTGAAGACTGAGCCTGCTCATCCAGAGCTTTTACTTTTCAGTCATAAGGGCAAATGGCTATTCTGCCTTTTACAAGGAATAGCTCTCATACTTTTTGCAGACCTTCATTACCTCACAGTGCCTGTACATGTTGTAATGACTATTAATATTAAAACACTGCAAAGCTGGATGACAGAATTTTACAGGAGCTTTCATTTCAATTGTAAACAAAGATTGATTTCTTACTGAAATTACAGGTAATACACTATGTAAAAGGCCAATAACAACTGTACAGACGAGTACTGATTGACTAATTATTAGCAATCATTCTAAGTCGAAGTATCCGCTTTGCAGTCAGTCAAAAGGCAGTGTGCTGTATAAATACTTTGTGCCATAAAGAAAAGCCAGTTTAGTGAATCACTGTTCCTTCTTTTCCCTTTTAAATCTTCAGTGCTAAGCAAGTAAATCTTTTACTAATGGCTACTGAGTATGTAGGCCAGCCCTCAGGTTCTAAAGCCCCTGGTGCAGATAAACACACACTTCTTGACCCTCTCGATATCCAAAAGCAGGGTGGTCTGGCCCAAAATGTCTACTGGAAACACGTGCTGCTGTTTGTGAGAGATCTGTTGAGAAACCCAAAACTGTAGAAAGGACTACAGTAATGATTAAACAGCATACGTGATTGTGGGTGCGTGCTCAAATCTGATATTTACTGATGACTTTGCTCTCTAATAATGTCCTCCAGCATTATATCACTCAATAAGATTGGGCAACCTGTTACTCCTCCTGATGTCAGTTCCTTACAATGTGATTCTGATAAAAATTGATCATTCTGAAGGTATACATCTGAACTTTTTTTCTCTATTTCTCACCTTACCTAAGCAAACTGCTGGCAGAGGGAGAAAGTCCAGCAGGCTGTAGTGCAAAATCAAGACCCGGATATGAAAGCTCATTTTCACTGCAATCCTGATATATTTTCAAAGTTTACAATGCTTTCAGCTTTTAAACATTTATTTTGTTGCTCATACCTTGGTCCTTTCATCTCATCAAGGTGGACTTTGCACTGACAGTTAGAAGGCTCTGCTCCAATCTTCACTGTCACCATGTCAAATGGGACTTCTGCATAGTACTCCTTGATTTTGGGGTTAAACTGAGGATTCAACTCCAGCTGTGGACTGGTGAAGATCTGCCTGATATGAGATAGGGTATCTTTATCTGTTCCAAGAAGGCATCAAAGGAAAAACAGTGAAATGTATGAACATTTATAAGTAACATGCAACTTCTGGCAGATTGATAACATGCATAGTAGAAAGATTTTAACTGCCTGCTCACTGTGAGACTGATAATCCTGATGCAAAGTCCTGCTGGCACCTGAGAGTCATTTTCAGGCCCTAGAGGGATTTTAGTCACTCAGTGCCTGATGACTCTAGTCAAAAGCACAAACTTCTAAGTCTCGATAAGCATCTGAAAATGTGAGGATTAGCTCTGCAAGATCCTGCCTCCAGTTGTTTAAATGGAACTTGAAAAAAAGTTAGGCCAAAATTCATAACCTGCTTAGGTACCAGCCTGTGTACAGGGTTTATGTACATGTGTAATTGCCAATAAAAATCAAAGTATGTTAGACATAAGAACAAGTCACATGGAGATATCTAGATTCATGGGGTCATTTGTAGTACAGCTTGAAGCACGATTTATTAAAATTCCTAAATAAAAAAAAAATCCAGCTACTTTCTTGTTTATAAAATCTCCACAATCAGATCCTATTTGCTCAAATGTATCTTTTATTTTGTAGTGTTTGCCAAATGACTCCTGAGAATAATCATTTGCTGGCAACTCATCTGTGACAAATATTTTAATCCAACCTATTGAAATCAGATTTACTGAACAATTACGTATTGAAAATTTTCTTTCCACATATATTATCTAGTATGTGTTTAAAACTGGGTACTTGAGAAAATACCAGCCAGAAAGCTCTCTGTAATATATGAGCAAATCTTGTGGCTTAAACTGTTTTTTTTTTTTAATGGTCATAAGGATGCATGCATTTCTGTGCAGGCCTTTCCTACCTCAGCCTAACGTATCAGCCTAAAGAAACAAAACAGGGCAATTTCAGTAATCTTGCAGAGACTAAAATGTAAAGGGAGATGTTCCAGGGAAAGGGCAGGGCTAGATCTACAGGGTAACAGAGACTCACAGAAATACTGACTTTATGGCAGTATAAACCATTCCCCAGATACTGTACATATTACCTAGAGGGATTATGTCACTAATTGCTAAAACCAGAGGAGAAATTTTCAAAATAAAATGAATTGAGATAACTTCAAAATTAAATGTCAATCAATTAGATGGTGATGACCAGCCAGCCTTGAACCATTCCTGGCCTCTGACTGACACAGGCGCTCCTGGAAGTGTGGTACAATCACTAACAGAGAGGAGAGTAGAAAAGCCTCTCCTCTGCAAAGCAATTATTTCACATTGAAAAGCAAATTACTCCTCAGATAATCCATCAGTAAGGAAGGCAGAAGAAAGCACTGTTGCCAGTACAGACAGCAGCACTACAAGCAGACACTACAGAAAACTCTTCTACTCTAAAGCAGTTCTTTAAAATCACCAAGTTGAGAACTGGCCTGATACAAGGCTGATTCAACTCCATGCAAGCTTAAAAGCTAGTCCACAAAAACAGATGTATGCTGAAGTTCTTGTAAAGAAAGGGAAAATTCTACTGAAGTACAGCAAGGAATCAATGAGTGTTGGAATATGCACAGTATGTATACATAGAAACATTTAATTTTGTACTTGAGGCTTATTTAACATAACAGCCTAATTATTGAGCAATTCACAAACATTATTTCTACTTAAAATTCCCTTGTTATGTAACAGCTTATAGGCACTCAATTCATTTAAGGGCTATATAGAAAAAGAGGCAAGAAATTTGTTCAGGTAATATCCTGTCTTCCCTCCTAGTGATTTAGAAAACCCTCGACTTACCATAACTGCACTGAATTTCTTTAGTCTTACTGGAATAACGCAATGCTGAAAGAAACAGAAACATAAATTTTATTTTCTAATCCTGATTCACAATCCTATGGCAAAAGGAGCTCTCATTTTGGTAATTATATAAAAAAAAATCTTTGCAGTGTCAGATTTTGCTTTAGGCTCAAGAACATTGCTCATCAACACAGCAGAACACTTATGCAGATAAGGAAGAAACTGCTTTTTTATATGTGGTAAGTCAAGATCTTCCAGCTGGAATGTAAAATCGTGTAATCTAAATCATATATATTGTCAGAATTACTAAAAAGAGGAAAGACATATACCATATGAAATGTTTTACTCTTATCCCATACCTTCATGATTCTTCCACAAGCGAAAATGAAAGTTCTGCTTTGGAATCACATTTTCTTGAGAAAAATTCCTGTCAATTCAATAGCAGATACATTTCTACATTAGTGGAAGAAACAGAATTCATGGAACATTTTTTAAAAAATTATATGTGGCAATGCATGGCAGATGGTAATTTGATGTTCTCTGTGGAAAGATGTAGCTTCTGGACTCCTGTTCCCAACATTAGTAATGCTACCTGAATGAATGTGATCGAAAACACTTCATAATAAATGATTTTATATACCATGAAGAGAACGAAAATAAAAAATAAATTTCCAAAAAATACTTGAATTGCTGGGAAAAGGCAGAGTAGATACAGCTGAGAATAAAACAACCTATGCCATATCTCTTAACAGTTTTATATTGCTTTTTTTGTATATGCTTGAGATTAAAGTTGGACTTTGTTCAAAAAGCAGTGGAATACGGATGAAGGCCTGTGTCATGGTGAATATCTGTATTGAGTGCTTTGATTTGTTTGCTTATTCAAACCAAACACATGATCAACATCCAGAGTATACACACATATACCCTCGGTAAAAAAAAAAGTCAATTGCAACTATTCATTAACACATTAGTCGCTCACAGTTTGCTAATTCTGCAGATTTTTTTCTTTTGTGTAATATTTTGGGAGCATAGAAGATGGGCAGTAGGCGTCTCTCCAAGTCATGAACTGAACTCTTGCTGATATGACCCTTTCAGAGGGAGCTTTTTTAAAAGGATCCAGTTTCAGATGTTCTTCTCCCAGTGTTTCCTGTAGAAGCCCTCATAAAGAAGCTTCTTCCTGAATACTGCCCACTCACTTTGAATTCTGAAAGACACAAGGTCATTCTCTGTGATAGGCAGGGGAGGTTCTGTGCAAATAGCCATCTCTGATGTTTCACGAGGAACTGCTGAAAAACAGTATTAAAGTCCATCATGGTAAAAGGCAAACTGTCAAATACTCAAAAAGATTCCTGTGAGATAAGGGGAAAAAACAGCTGTCTCTTGGCAGATCAGTGTGTCTTTGTATGTGCATGAACATGTAGTTTTGACATCTTGCACTGTCTAGACACCGCCCTGATTTCATGCACATTCATGACCTCTTTCAAAGGAGACAACAAACTACTAGAGAGTTTGTTTTCCACGTTATAAGTCACTTAATACCCTCCTTTCTTCTTGCCAAGGAGGTTATGGATAACACCTGTCAAATAAATTTTTTTCTCTCCCCACTGCTCCTTTTTGTATTGCAATCTTCCCAAACCAACTGTAAGGTCAAAACAAGGCGTCTTAACTCTAGAAAATGTTAGAGTTTCATTTACTGAGAGAATACCACATGAATGTGCCAGCCATCACCACTGCAAGGGCCCAGCTTAGTAAAGAACTTCATGACCTCTGTGCATCAGATATGTTTATCATCAAACATTAAGACTCATATAATAATTACAGTAAGGTATCAAAAATTAATATTTAGAAGTAGTATTACAGAAAGATAGTCAGATTACTGTACTCATCACTGCTGAAGACTCAGCTTTTCAGTCATTGGCATCATCTCATTTTCCTTTCTCCAAGCTCCTTCCACCAGCAGGACTGAGGAATGGTGAAGTTAAGAAGCTTTCCCTCAGTCAGAGAGTGGCAGAGGATGCAACAGAATCCTTTCCTCCACACACTGTTGTGCAAGAAATGACGTTCATTTGTATGAGCTGCTCCTTGTTTGTTTTACTGACTGTCCTGAATGAGCTATCAAGCACAGATGAGCACGCTGCCTCTGTACTTTACTATTAGGTGTAATTGTAAATGACTGTACATTGTGTATCCCTGGTATATGTATATTTGTGAGCTTGCCTTTTGGGAGATCTCCTCTGTGTACCTCACAAAATGTTAACAGTAAACATGTCCTGTAGGACTCAGACTCACTGTGATTCAACAAAAGTGAAAGCTAAATGACTGACAGCAGTTGTAGTAATATAGCTTAGCAATAAAGGATATATAGAGATAGTTAAATTTCACTATAAGATTAAAATCTATTGACCCGTCTGGTAGATGAGGGAAAGGCTGTTGATGTAGTCTACCTGGACTTCAGCAAAGCCTTTGACATAGTCTCCCACAGTATTCTCCTGCAGAAACTGGCAACCTGTGGCTTGGACAGGTACACTCTTGGCTGGATAAGGAACTGGCTGAAGGGCCAGGCCCAGAGAGTGGTGGTGAATGGAGCTAAATCAGCTAAACTAGTGACAGGTCACAAGTACTGTTCCCCAAGCGTTGGTGCCGGGACCTGTCCTCTTCAATATCTTTACTGATGATCTGGATGAGGGCATTGAGGGCACCCTCAGTAAGTTTGCAGATGACACCAAGTTGGCTGGAAGTGTCGATCTGCCTGGGGGTAGTGAGGCCCTAAAGAGGGATCTGGACAGGCTGGATAGCTGGGCTGAAGCCAATGGGATGAGGTTCAATAAGACCAAATGCCAGGTCCTGCACTTAGGCCACAAAAACCCCAGGCAACGCTACAGGCTTGGGGCAGAGTGGCTGGAAGATGGTGTAGAGGAAATCGACCTGGGGGTATTGATTGATGCTGGGCTGAACATGAGCCAGCAGTGTGCCTGGGTGGCCAAGAAGGCCAATGGCATCCTGGCTTGCATCAGGAACAGTGTTGCCAGCAGGAACAGGGAAGTGATTGTCCCCCTGCACTCAGCTCTGGTGAGGCCGCACCTCGAGTACTGTGTCCAGTTCTGGGCCCCTCACTGCAAGAAAGACATTGAGGCCCTGGAGCGTGTTCAAAGAAGGGCAACAAAGCTGGTGAGGGGTCTGCAGCACAGGCCTTATGAGAAGTGGCTGAAGGAGCTGGGATTGTTCAGCCTGGAGAAGAGGAGGCTCAGGCGAGACTTTATTGCTCTCTATAACTACCTGAAGGGAGGTTGCAGTGAGCTGGGGGTCGGCCTCTTCTCTTGTGTAACTAATGATAGGACTAGAGGGAATGGCTTCAAGCTGTGCCAGGGGAGATTCAGGCTGGATGTTAGGAAATACTACTTTTCCAAAGGAGTGGTCAGGCTGGAATGGGCAGCCCAAGGAGGTGGTGGAGTCACCAACCCCAGAGGTGTTCAAGGAACATTTGGACGTTGTGCTGAGGGACATGGTTTAATGAGTACTACTAGTGATCGGTGGACGGTTGGACTGGATAATCTTGTAAGTCTTTTCCAACCTTGGTGTTTCTGTGATTCTATGATTCTGTGATTCTGTGAAAACTGGAAAAGGGAAAAACCTGGGCACTTCTGGAGCCTCTGACATATGTGTTAGTTGTGAGCGGTGCAAGTTTTAATGGATCACAAAATCAATATTGAGGCTATGTTCTCAGTATTCAGTTGAGTTACGAGGTTTTTTCCTCTTCAGATTATGTTTTGTAGGTCTCTGGAAAATGAGGAGCCACCAGAGATTATTTTGTGACAGATGATCACTAGCAGATTTTCTATTTAAATGTGCTGTAGACTACTTCTTTGGCTTCTGCCAAAGAGTTTCCATGGGGGCATTTGCTTTACAGAATGAAGCACTCTGTATTGGTTTCTGGAAGAGAAATACAGAATTGCAGACTAAAGAGTGGGATTTTTTTCCTGGCACTTAATTCCAATTCTCTCTCCTTCCTTCCTTCCCTCTCTCTTTCACTCCTCTCACAGCAGATCTTGTCCCTGATTTCCTTGCCCTCTTCTTTTTTTGCCTCATAGTTGGAACTACGTTTGTTTCCCAAACTGTCCAGGCAATGAGCATGACAACATTAAACACCAAGAAATTATTTTCAGCCCAGATAAAGTTTGAGGGCTGCTGTCTCTGTTTTCAACTTAATAATGGGCTTGTGTAAAAGAAGCTAGTAATACTTTTCCAAATGTGTAAGTTGATTTTGTAAAAGCATTTGCAACTTTATTGACCTATTTAGGCTCTCATACAAAACAGAAAGGTTAGTTTTTCTTATAAATCTGATTCTTGTATGCTATTCTGCTGTTTGACACAGACAGGCATACTTACCACAGTACCTCATAGCCCATGTTCTAGAAGACAGTAATCATGTATGTCTTAGTCATATCACAAATTGAAGCTGAATAGAATCAAAAAATCATGCACAAATCAATTTAAATTATATGAAAATGTAGGTAGCATCCCTCCATCACTTTCAAGGAATTTCATATTATTTTATACCAACACCTCTGAGATTGTCATTCTCACCTGGGCTGTAACCATTTCATTGCAGTTGGAGACGAGTTTATGGAGTTCTTCTTCCTTCTCCTGTGAAACAAATATAGATAGTTCTCTAATGTCACTGAAGGTTTCAATATTAGCAATGCAGACAAAATGGGATAAGAAAATCAGACCATGAAACCTCTTTAAATAATGGCTTAATTCTATGGAATCATTATCAGTGAATTGCATACCTTCACAAGACCTAAGTCAAAAGTCATTATTTTTCCCATAAGCACTGTCTGGGTGGATAGTCAGATATGCAAATCACTGGATTTTATAAATACCAAGTTTGTATAGTTGGAGAAATAAGAAGAGTTAAATGAACCAACCAGCCAACCTGTCTTTAACTGAAGACATTCATCAAAAGTGTTCTGATGGAGTCTCCTTTTAAGGAGATATTCAAGATCCATATGGTTGCTTACCTGTGCAACCTACTGTAGGGTACCTGATTAGGCAAGGGGATTGGAATCAATGCTCTCTTGTGGTACCTTCCAACCCCTACAATTCTGTGATTCTGTGATCTACAAGCTCATCAAAGGTAGGAATCTCAAAGATTAATCAACGTTCAAAGAGAATGAGTTATTTGGGGCGTATGCTTTATTCACCTCTTTCTTCCTTGCAATTATGAATAATTACATACATATCTGACACATATATCACCTTCACTTGCATGTGACTATAGGAGTGGGAGATTATGATTAAGCAATGTTAAAGCATGCACTTTTTTATGGAGGGAATGTGCAGAATGGTATTATTAACTTAACATTGCAGAAAAATAAGTGCAAAGAAGCAAACTGTCAACTGCCCTAGAGAAAGGTCATGGTACTACTAAGTATTTATATACATATAGTAAATGTTCAGCGTGAAGAAAAAAGCAGCCAAGGAGTTGCTCAAAGTAAGTGAGTGGAACAGCTTAGATTAGAACAGAAAGCTGCTAAGGGTTGGTATGCTTTGATATGCAAACCAAAATATTTTGGCAAAAGGGCAAGGGCTTATACATGAATGCAAACAGCTGCATCTTAGAGTTACTGGAGTGGCCAGTAGTAACAACAATAATGTTTAGTACAATCATGGAACTATGTATTTTCAAAATACTAATAAACACTTACCTAACACAGTGGTGAAGTATAATTTTCATTTTGCAGATAAGCAAACAAAGATATAGATAACTCCTTAAAGCTATACACAATTCATTGAGAAACAAAATTAAAACTCAGGAAGTCTTACAGATGCCTTATATAGTGAATTTAGCATTCTCCAAGCAAAGTGTACTCAATGATGTTGCTGCTTGTCAAACTTGGGATTCAGTGGAACGGAACACATGCCTGTGTTTGCATAAACAGTATATATGCCTGTATGCAGTAAAGAATTATGGCATACGTGTGTATAAAATGTCACTAGATGGGAGATAAAGAGCAAAACATTTTTTTCCCCAATTTTTATAATCAATACATTTTATACCACACCTTTTAACTCTCTTTCCCTTCATTCCTTACTCTCTTTTTTATTTAATGCTTACCTTCCTTCTTTCCTCTCTGCCTCCTTCCTTATTAAAGTTTATAATCTCTCACCAAAAGCTCAATGGATTCCATCTTGTATTCTCCCAGCTTTTCAAATAGAGTTAAATCAGGATCTTAGTGCATCCTACTCTTAGACCTGTCTCTTGTCAAATTTGTGAAATTTAGAGCCGCTAAAATTCATCAATCCATTTTGGAAAAACCTTCACCTAAAATTTTATATTTTCTTTATGTTCTTGTTCATAATTGAATAAATTAAATTAGAGTGGTAAACACTCTTAGTTTTGAATTCACCATTTTTCAGGAACAACTTACCTAATTCACTTCACATTTCTTAGAAAAAAGAATTACCTCCAATTATTTTTTTACTCATGGATCTCTGTGCTAGAAGTAGAAGGGAAAAACTGTCATATGTTGTGCATATAGCTGCAGCTCTAATGGCAGAATGTATGACAGTACTTCATGGACAGATGATGGACCTTACTGTCAAGTGATGTAAGTTCCCCTACATCTATTGAGGAGTTATGTTTCATGGTATTCACTGGTGTTTTTCCAAATTACATAGTTACAGAAACTATCTTTAGTATATTGTATAATAGCTGTCTTACCATTCTGAAAGATCTGTATGTGTCTCCTTGGTCATGAACTGGAATTGTTCAAGCAAACTGGAAAGCAACCAATGTACAGTCAGGACTGAACCAAGTCGTCTCATTGGGTCTACCATGTGATAAAGGTCACGCAGTAAAGTTTGGATCTTGGGTGAAGCAGAAGGGTAAAGCTGAGAAGAGATATGGTGATTAGGGACTACGTTATAATATTTGTAAATTGCTTAGAAGTGAGAAAATATCAGAAGACAGTGTATGTAGCATACAAATATATTAATATAAATTCTCTTTCACACAACCATAGAGATTATTGTCTTGCCCATCCCTGCAAATCAGTCCTGCTTGTTGTACTGACATGGAAGTCTACTTCCCTTTCCACTCAGAGCCTCTAACTTGACTTCCAGATCTAGATAAGTAATAACTAATTCTCTTTTTAAAAGTCTCATCAATCTCCAGCCCTAATACTTAATCAGGAAGCCTAGAAGAAATCCTGGAAATCCTGATGCCATGAACATTTTCTGAACAATACATTCAGGTTTTGGTGATTAATTTCCCCAGTCCTCCATCTCAACACCAGAAATTTTCTGTCATTAAATATAATGCCTATTCATGGACACTGGCTGCTATTCCTCCATCTCTATTATTCTCCAAAAAAAAAAACTCATTATAATTTTGAAGAAGACATATCACATGTTCTGCCTATGTTTTTCATCCACTTTTTTGTATCTGTCTTTTCTTTGATAATGATCTTAGTGTTGAACAGCCTCCAGTTTTTCCATTCACACATCCTTTGCTTCACTTGCATTCTATTTTCTTACCACTGTAGGAGACTTTTACATATTTTTTTTGTTCTCCTTTTTTTTCTATTTTCTGGTTTATTTTTCTGCTTTTTTCTGTCCTTAACTCAAAATTCTGTGTTTCATTTCATTCTCTCTTTAATTATAAATTCCAAAAATCTAAAATAAAATCAGTATAACTTCTATCTCTGTTTCCCTATCCATTCAGTCTGACACATGCAGTGACAGCAGAGAATGGTAATCCAGGACTAATATTAGCAGGTTTACATAAAATACAAAACAGAATAGTTTATTTTACCAGCTCAAATTGTCCAAGATTCTTCACCTCTTTAACAAATGTCATCATTGAATTTATCTCCTCTAAAGACAAACATTGTCCATCTTCTTTGAGGAAGATTCCATCCTATGGAGGCAAGGACAACACATTCTGGTGAAATCACATGGAAAGCAATGTTCTGTCATTAGGCCCCAATCATTTTTCCCCAGCAAAGAGGCAATAAGCTACCTTTCTCACAGTTGATCCATATATTTTTTGTAAAGCTTCTATGAAACTGGAACTTGAGGACTTATTAGACAATAGAAATTTAAAAGTATCTTCAAAAATAGCTTCTTTGAAAGTTTGGTCCTGAAGATTTGATTTCTCCTCATCTTGAAAGTCAAAATTTTTATGCACCTGTTAGAGAACAGTGTAAGAATTTACATTGTGTACATCAAGGCCTGTCTTCCCATTACCACACATTACTAAGCTGGAATTCTTTATTAAGAAAGAGAAGCTGTAAGAGCACTAATAAAACAGACAGGATTATAATATAAAAAATGTACCACATTTTCTGTAAGAACTTCATGCCACAATGTTTGCTGACCTCTAGTGGAAATAGTATAGAATCTCATGCTAATATGAAACCGCTCTTTTCCACCTCATTTGAAATTTGATTTAAAAAAATGTCAGCTGATACGTTAACACAACTCTTACAAAACTCAGGTATTCAAGTTGATATTAATGACATAATCCTTACAGTATATAAATACAACCAATACAGTCATAAAAATATGAATAAATTATTATTTAGTACAAACACAGATATAACCAAGCGGTATATGGGGTATGTGCATACTTCAGTTTCTAGGGAATACAATTCAAAATAAAATTTCAATCGATGCTAAGAAAGTATCAACTGTTAATTTTTAGAGTAACTGTGTATTATCTCATTGGAAACTATTCAGCAGTTCTGATTTACTGCACATTTATGGATTGTGACTGATGGTTAAGGCTACTGTAGAAGCTGGTAAACATTACACTTTATGATTTTAAGCACTCCAGGTAGAATTTATTTACAGGTTTATAGGGTCTTATCTTTGCATTACTGTTACTAGAAAACTGCAGAGATTTTAACAGAAGATGAATTTAAAAATGGTCTCCTTTAATTTCACAGGATATATTTGCTTTCTGTTTGTATATCATATACATATGAAGAAAGATTTTATATGTCCAGTTATATACATAAATGTATGTATGTATAAATGTAGTGGAAAAAAAGCTGTAAAGCAGTAAATTTTTTGTTCTGGCTGGGCTGTTATTTCGTACCAAAATTGGTACAAAATTGTCAGAAGAAGTTTATGATAATAGTCATCTTTTTTCAGGTTTTGAGGGCCTTGAGGACTGCTTAGGAAGAGGGCAGTGCAGTGGAAGAAGGCAGCACGGTGAAGGTGAAAGCAGAAATGAACTGAACAATTATGGTACAGCTCATGGAGAATGTTAACCTGTATTAAAAGCTATCAATGGCTTCTAACTTTCTCCCTTAGTGTTTTCTTTCTGGTGCACTTAATACCTAACTTCACTTGAATGCAGTGCTTACTATGCATTTTGTTTAGCTGATATTCATTTGTGATGATAGTGCTGTAACACTAAAAAGTTTATATTCTTAAATGGTGTGGTGAACTTCATCACAGGAAATCTGTCCCTCACCAATTGCTTTCTCCCATAGCTACTTCTAGGCAAAAACATTATTAAAGCATTTGGACATTTCTTGGAGATTTGAGAGCAATCGTCACAGAGGTTTTTTTGCTGTGTTCTGTTTGTTGTAATTTTCTGGGGTCAGTAAAACCCTTCTTCTTTTCTTCAACAAGCTTGCAAACTCTAGGGAACTCCAGGAAAGAAAAAACATAATGTCATGGTTTTATGATTCTTGGTTATCAGTATTCCACATCATAACATCATGTAGTGCACTGAGGTTAAAGAGTTAATGCTGCAAATCTGGGTACCTGTATTGGAAGAGAACAACTACATTCCCCAGAAGACTGTTTGCTGTTCTGTTATTGTTTCTGCTCAGGGTAAACAGATATACGGCCTGGGTAGGTCACCTGATGTGCTCTTTTCCCTTTTTTAGCTCTCCTCCCTGCTGCTCGTCCCAACCACACACATTGCCTCAGCATTAGTTTAAGACCATTCAGTTTTTGGATGCTCTTTCTCTCATCATATTTGATTTATTAGCTTAAATTCTAATTACATTGTAATATAGTGTGTTATCTTGCATTTTGATACCATATTTAGTAAATTAGTTTGTTTCTCCTCAGATCGTTGCCACTGTTTTTAATTATTTGGGGTCCCTTGTTTCCCTGTTCTGGAGGCATGGATGCGTGGATCCCTCCACCCCGCTAGTCATGGAACCGAGCTGAACCAGCTCATAAAACACTGACAACAACAAAAGAAACATTCAGGGTTGTTTGCTCACCTGAAGAACTATGGGGTGTATGGAGGTGCTGAACCCAATGTCAAAGGTCAGCATTTGAAAACATTGGCTGCATCTGAAATAGAATGCAACAGAAAACAGATTCAGTGAGGACAGATATTGTAAAATACATGCTACAATGACAGAACATAAACATATTTGTCCAGACAAAGCATATGAAACAGACTAAAAATTTCTAAGAAGAGTCCACAACTCTAACCAAAGATAGAGTCACGTTCTGAAGAAAATGATATACTAAAGGATATCTGTATGGCCGACTTTTAAACTAGTGTGGGAAGAGAACTACACTGGAGGACAAAATGCTTTTTGATGAGAACGAGGTCCCACAAAAGCTTTGGAGACGTGGACTTTAAGAGATGTCTATCAGGTAGAACTCTCCAGGCTCACTGAACCTAGCTGCACCTGGGGGGATGTTTTAAGGCATGGGCCAAGAACCCCAAGAAAATTTTAGGCTACACTTACAAAGGATATCTGTTCCATGGGTAAACAAATACTCAGTTTGGACCATTATTAAAATAGTTTTATTCATTTTATATTCATTCCCTTCTGTCTTTCCACTACCCTCACAATGTGTTATTCCTGAAAAATAATGAGCTTCATATTACTGTTACTGAAACACCAAGGTTCTCAAATATATGAGGGCTGCTCTGAAAGAAATACCTCCCATTTCATTTTGTTGCGCCATGACATCGGAGGATTTTGGTGCTATGGCAGAAGAGGTTGAACCTTCCCACCAATATTCTATTATGTTCTGCTGCCATGTGACAGATGGCAGAAAAGGGGCAGCCTTACAAATGGTATCTGACATGGAAGTGCAGATGAAGCAAAGGTGTTATTGAATTCTTTCACGCAGGAAAAATTGCACCTATTTCTTGATTCACGTTGAATGTTTGTAGAGACCAGCAGAGTGAAGCAGTGGGTGGTGCATTTCAGCAGTGATGACTGAGACGGTGGGATGATTCCACTGGTACAGTCTTTTCAAGCACAGCATGCAAGCTCTTGTTCACTGCTGGTGAAAATGCACAGCTACTGAGGTGAATATGCTGGAAAATAGTGTTCTGTAGCTGATAATGTGCTATGTTAAATATTGTTATTGTGCTTTTCGTTGTAATTTCAATAGAAATAAATAGGAGGCATTACTTTTGGACCAACGTAAGTATTTTTAAAGCATGCAAACATAATAAATAGTAACTTATTTACTATATACCACAAAAAAATTTACAGATGTTACACAACATGTGGAGAACAAATATTAATTACTGAACTTATTAAGTAATAAATGCTGATATATGCATAAAAACTATAACAATCTAGTGGAAGTGATTGCAATGACTTAGCACTCACATAAAAATGTTGCTGCCTGGATACATTTCATAACATGCATTTTGTGAAGTATTCTGCTGTGTTTGTTGTTCACGTTCTCTGCCTTGACCAATTCAGAACAGCCAGTGCTACTCTAACTTTAAACATTTGAATCGTGTCAGAGCGCTCACTTACAGGAAATACAGCATTATACAAATGATGACTAGCCCAATTGTGAGCAATCTCTGCTCATTTTTGCTGCATGGGAAAATTCATCAGGACACATCATTTTGTCCTTGGTATTTACCACAACCTCTTTACAAACCAGAAACACTGTGGATATAGAAGATTTTCTTCCCTAGGTACAACGTATCTTTACTTTATTCTATCAAGAATTATGAAATATAAGGGATTTTGTTATTTCAGGAGTCATGTGTCCTCTACAATTTTTATTCTGTTCTAAGAAGCTATTTTAACAACATAACAATGAACACTGCAAGTTACTTACTGATTGATAGAGCCTGGTCCTGAGGCAGATGATTCACTGAGGACCTCAGTTATAAGTAGAAGTTTGCTTATAGCTTCTTTCATGTTGTTAAAGGCTTGCTGGGGAGAACTGCTTTTGAAGAACATCTCAAAAAACCTTTGCAGCTGTGAAAAAGATTACATGTATTTGTGAACATTTACCAGTTTAACTAAACCAGTGCTTAAGGTCATAAATTATACAGCTGGTAGAAGTCAAAACTGCATTACAATGTCAATTTCAATTGTAATTCATTTGCACAGTAAAGAATGGCATGAAAAGCACCACACAGCACACTAGCAAAGAAGGAGCTTTAGTTTACAAATATTAGAAACAGACTTTAAAGCAATGCATTTAAAAATTATTGCTCACAGTATAAGCTTACTTTGAGAAAACCCTTTACTATCAATTTGTTTCAGGCAAAAGAAATCTAACACTTATTGCTTCAGCAGTAGGCAATAGCACAAGCATAGAAAAAGCCTTTTCTATTGTTAACATACTATGCCAAGGGCTATCCACTTGACCTTGACTATTAATTTTTACTCCAGGTTAACAAATTCTAAACAGAACCAGTCATCACAACCACTGCAGCCATCACAGACTATATTTTGGCTAGACTCTTGCAGATACTGAGGATTTTAGCTATGTGAATCCTTCCAGGGACATATTCACTGTCCTGAATAACACTATTATCTCAACTGCTTTAATCACTCATGAAAATTCATCCTCCTTATCACTTCAGGTAGAAATCTAGGGAAAGAAAACTAGAACAATATAGTATACCAGTGAAGAATGGGACACAGGCAGATTTTGTTGCATCAGAGATCTTGGTGCTAAGAAAGGATCTGTCTTTGAATCATGTTTTCAATTATTCAATTAATTCAATTATTCAATTAATTAAAAAAAAATAACTATGTCAAACTGTCAGATAATTTAGTAGTAATTAGTATAAAGCAGATATATTTATATTGTATAAAAGTACTGTTTTCAGATATAAAGCACATAGAGTACACATGGAACATGTTTTCTACAAATATTCAGAAAATACAAATTTCTGAATGTTTCCAGGAATTTGTCTACTAAATTGAATTAGAAATGCCATTATGTGTTTTCTACTATCACCTACTTATACATGTCCCAGTGGCTTCTGTAGGCAACCCCACTGGAGACTCATGTGGCTGGCATGTCCTGCAGATAGATTTACAAAGATGGCCTTTATTAGAAGTCTGTAGCAAGGTTTAATGTGATATTTTGGATCTACAGCATGAGCACAGAATCAGAGAACTACAGGATGACCAAGGTTAGAAGGCACCACTGGCACCAGAAGGAACCATCTGGTTCAACCTCTTCTCAAGCATGGACACCCAGAGCTGGTGCTCAGGACTACATCCAGGTGGTTTCTGAAAATCTCTATGGAGGGAACGCCACAGTCTCTCTCAGGAACCTGTGCTAGTGTTCCATCATCTATGCAACACACAAGTGCTTCCTGATAATTGGATTGAACCTCCTGTGTTTCAGTTTGTGCTCCCTGCCTCTTCTTCTGGTACTGGGCACCGCTGAGAAGAGCCTGGCTCTGTTTTCTTTGCACCATCTCCTCAGGTTTTCATAGATGTTGATGAGATCCCCCTCAAGTGTCCTCTTCTCCAGGCTCAATGGTCCCAGCTCTCCCAGCCTCTCCTCTCAGGAGAGATGTTCCATTCTTTTCATTGCCCTGATGGCTCTTTGGACTCTTTCCAATATGTCCATGTCTCACTTGTACTGGGGGCCCAGAACTGAATACAGTACTCCAGCTGTGGCCTTACAGTACTGAGCAGAGGAGAACGTCCTCCTTCAGAAACTTGATGGCAATACTACTACTAATGCAATCCAGGACACTCCTAAGCTCTTTTTGTAGAAAGTGCACTTGCAAACTCATGATCATCTTGGCGTGCATTAGGACCATCAGGTTTTTTTCTGCCAAGCTGCTTTCCAGCTGGGGGAATCCCACCCCATACTGGTGCTTGGGGTTGTTCATCCTCAGATGCAGGACTCTGCATTTCTCTTTGTTGAACTGCATGAGATTCCTGTTAGCCCATTTCTTCAGATTGTCAAGGTCCCTCTGGATGGCACCATGGCCCTCTGGCAAATAAGCCATTCCTCCCACTTTTCTATCACCTGCGAACATGTTGAGAGTGCACTCTACCCCATCATCCAGACCATTAACAAAGATGTGGAACAGACTGGACCTAGCACCGTCCCCTGGGTACACCACTAATTACTGGTGATGCATTATGATGAATTCACTATGCTAACACCAGATCTCTTTACAACATAATTCTACGCACTCTTGTCCACAGAATTTTCTAGATAGTGCTGTAGCCTCCCCATGTGAGCAGAAATACTGCCAAGGAACGCTCGTTTGTGTTGGCATGAATGATTAACTTACAGTTTCTTCAGGCAGCATATTGCAATTAAATGTAATCAGCATTTTCCACTTTTCTTTTTAAAAAACGCTGTATCATTGCCTACAGCCAGGTATGAAAAACACTTAAGTATGGAGCTAATACTGACCCTTCTTTGCTCTTTGTTCTCTTCAATGCCAGTAGCTCAGTCCCGTTGTGCTGGTAAATAACTAGAAGGTAGAAAGTTGGTTTGGCTGTCTACCTGTTCTTATCACATCTGGTTTTATTCTAACAAGCTTGCAGGTATTGCAAAATCAAAGAAATTTGCTCCGTGATCTGGGTGGAAGGTTTTGCAGTGCTTGGGACTCTCCATTCTACTTCTGAGAAGGTTGTTTGAAATGCCAGTAGGAAATGAATATCAACAATATATATTACTAAAATTTCAAAATTAAACTTCTGACTGCCAGAATTTATAAATAAAGGTTGTATATAACCTCAGCTCTGCCATTTGGATATTTGCATCATGTTGCAATCTTGAATTACATTACACTGTATTTTTATGTCATAGAGTTTCCATGTGTACTGCAGTTCCATGAATCTCTAGGGCAAAAGAGCCCCAGAACCAAAATGTAGAAAGAGATTATGCAAGTCTCCAGGTTGCGCTACATTTCAAGGCAAGCAGGAGTACTTGCTTTCCGAAGTCCAAGATCACTCAGCTTTGTTTCTCCTATAGAGTGATACAAAGATTCAGAACGAGAAGCTGAATAGTTTTCACATCAGTTCTGATTCAGATTCATCTCTGATTGAAACTGTCCCAGTTTTGGTGAAGCCCAACAGCAATTTATTAATCAGTTTATATGAAATAAGAAACTAAGAATGAAGATTAACCTCAGTAGGATGAGACAACAAGGTGGTTCATCAGCTTACATCTATCTCCAACGTCTCTGCCAGATCCTGCACGTCATTCACATTGCTGCTAGATTAGCTTTTGCCTCTTCTTTGGTTTCCTATGTCTGTAGTGGGTTTCGAGAGGCTAAGTAAGAAGCTGTCTTGCTTTGCTGCAGAGGGTGTCCCTATCAGGAGCTACAGAATTTTATAAGGAGAGATAGAGGGCAATTACAGGAAAAAACAGCAAGAGGGACAGAAAAAGCCCATTAGGCCATTTGCTCATCTCCACCAATTGGTTCCTAAATACTGCAACACAAAGGATATGCAACACATGTATTTTGAGCCAGAACTGCTGAAAGGCAGGCTGATATGCACTGTTTGCACTCACAGCATGCTGCTGGCTAAAGCAGCAAACTGCTTCCAACACAACAGACCTTGAAATAAAACTGGCTTCACCAAGGAACTGCATTTTAGTTACAGTCCTCCTTGGGCAGATTAGAAAGAAAACAACTGTGCTCAACGGGTCCTCATTATAGGATATCGGGTTTTAGGACAATGTTTATTCTAAGTCAATGACTGAAAATAAATATTTAGACAGCTTGGTTCAGGACCAACAAAGACACCAGAAAAATGCTTCAGGTTCAATTCCAGTTCATGAAAAAATCCTGTTCAAACCAGTTCAGGTTACATTTGACTCTTATGGATTCTACAGAGTTCTCAACACCTAATAGGGAAAATGTAGAATATATGGACTGGGGATAAGAAATGTGAATACCTACAGCTACTTTGAGTTTTTCTAAGTGTTTCCAACACTTAGTTCTGTTCAACTGCAGAACGCTGAAGTCACTAAGCTGAAGGTTACTACAGATGATGACTACTGAGGCACGTTCTCCCACCTTCAGAAGAAACAGACCACCTGCCCAGCAGGGTTCAACCTCATTATTGACTGAGGTTGATTAAAAGCAGCACAGAATAGCAAAAGAGGACAGAATGGAAGAAAACTTGTGACAATCACAGGAATTTAGTCTCTAAGAAAGCTGACCTTTTGCTGGCAGATTTTTGAGTAGAGGAATAGGGATTAAATTTTAGTGGGCTGTAAAACTTAATGTACACATGGACATACACATTGTACAATGACACCTTTGTGTGCAGAACTGCAAGAGTTCTCAGGAGCTTGGAAATGTTCATCCACGTGCTAGATGCATATAGTCAGGGGTATATTCCACATATTTACATAATACCTTTCAGAGAATGTGTAAATCTAGTTAAAGTATGGGGATCAAAACATATTTTTTCCAAAGGCAGTCTGAACTAGGAATGTAATTAAGATGAGTTTTAACTCAATGACCTTTAACTCACTGATAACTGTTTTTCCTTTAGGATAAGCTGTTGGATTAAAAAAAAAAAAAAAAGGCAACATTAAATTTAAAATGCTTTTTCTCTACCCACTTTGAATTTTATTTTTTAAAAATCTGAAGCCATTAAAATAAGCCTTATGATTTCAGTGACATGGATTCCTTTGGACCTTCAAAAATACATGGAATCACCAGTGAATGGTCTAAAAGACTGAATAAAAATGCAGTGTAATTGACAAGCTTCATGAACAGACTTAGGGACACTATAGGAGAGCAGAGGAGTTCACAGGGCTGCATGCTATGGTAGCTTAGTAATTCCTTTCAGAAGATTTTCCTCTGGCATGTTCTCTGGAAATGAATTTCTTAAGATGGGTTCTAGGGCAGCCTGGGGCAGCCAGCTGAATAGCTAGCTGAGGATTTGCTTCAGAAAGGTATAAATTAAATCAGACATCTATGTCCCAGTTTCTCCCACCTCCACTCCTTTATTTTAAGAGGCCTA